TATTATTATTCGTACTTGTCTACAGCAGTAAGGGCTAGTCTTGATCTCAGGGATGAGTTGATGGGTTAAATGTCAAGGACACATTTCCTGTGTATAGTTGTCTTCTACGTCTTCTAATTCTTTTTCTCAGTTTTGATTGTCAAAACACTTCATTTTGGACAATTCTTTCATTTTCTATCACACCAACACTTACTATAATGAAAGGAATGGCGTCACTTCCCCAGACTTATTAAATAGGACAAAGTTGGGTCAAAGTTGTGGACAGCCTGTATTTGACTTTATTACCAAATGTTTATTATTTGCTAATAAAGTCTCAACAGTCCCCACTCTGTGACAGGTTAATCTATGTTTTTCCACCTCCATTTCTTGTAGCCACAGAAATGTAAGTACCGTAATCTCTTCTGTCTTGTGTTTCCACTGAAGCCAACCAGAGCTTGAACCCCTTCACCTAGCTCTGGTTAGCTTTATGGGGTGAATGTCAAATAAACATATTGTTACAAGCCTAAAAAAAACCTGCTTACGTCTGGATTCAAACTTTTTGGACCAGTGAAAATGAGTGCCTTCTGCTGCTCCATCTCCGTTTGCTTCAGGACATACGGATGTCCTACGTCAGTATGTCCAGTAAATGTTGCTACTTCCTGCTTCATGGAACTGTCAGGCTTTTGATACAGCTGTTCAGGTGTTCTTCGATGTGTTGACGCAGTGAGTGAACTGAAGTGAAGTGGACGTGGGGAGAGAGGAGACATGAGGCCTGCTGAGGGTGGAATATTAAATCTGATGAGAGTTTCTCCAAAGATTGACAAGAAATCGTTGACAATTGTGTTTACAGGCGCCTCTTTTTTCAGTGATTGCTGCGCTACAGCAATAATCAGCTCTGTAATGAGCGAGGCCCATAATCCCTGCACTTGGTGACAGAAACCAGGCCTGCTTAATTAAGGCTATGATTTCCCACGAGGCACCGGGGCCTCTTTTCCTCTCCTCGTCCTCTTTATTGGACTGACTTTATTAGGAATTTAAGTGAAGGCAGTCAAGACAGTTTTTTTGTCTGTTGATCAACTTTATTATTGCTTCATGGAACTAGCTTTTTTGGTTCGAGCAAAAAAGTACTTGTGAGTACCACATGGGGCGCTACGTGTGTACAAACAGGACATTGGTTAATGCTGGAAACTGGTATGGACTGCAGGTCAATGGATGGATGGATGGATGGATGGATGGATGGATGGCCGCATGGATGGATGGATGATGAAAGGATGGATTGATGGATGGTTGGATAAATGGATGGTTAGATGGATGCATGGATGGATGGATGGTTGGATGGATGCATGGATGGTTGGATGGATGGATGAATAGATGGATGGATGGATGAATGATTGGATGGATGGATGATGAATGTTGGATGGATGGATGGATGCATGGATGGTTGGATGGATGGACATATGGATGGATGAATGATTGGATGGATGGATGATGAATGTTGGATGGATGGATGGTTGGATGGATGGACGTATGGTTGGATGGATGTAATACAGACAGACAGGAAGCCCTGGGCTCCTCCTGCTCCCAGACTGAAGTCTCTACAGTTCCCAGTCACTGTGTGACAGGTTCAGTTATGTTTTTCCACCTCCAGAGAAATACGACAGTGCAGTGTATAATATATGCTGTTTGCGTCCCGGCCTGTGATTATTGTGACTATTTCTCCATGATTGTTATTATTGATTCCCAGCAGCCTCTGCTCTTACTCGGGTGTCAACCCTGATTCCAGCAGAGACTCCAGTAGAAATGGACTCTAACGACAGCACTGAGATTTTTCAGAGAGGTCCACGTTCCCTCAGACGGGAGTTACTACATTTGTCAAAGAAACAAAATGCTGCAGGTGAAACCCATCAGCTAATGCTGCTGTGTGTGTTGGATAATAACTGTTGGTTTATCAGTTCAGATGAGTATTTTTTTCATTTTACCACATAAAGCAAAAATTTGCAATGATTTGATAATATTTGCTATTCGCAGGATAACAGTTAACAGTTAACTGGTTTAATTCTAGCTAACATTAGCTATTTTCCTTTGTTTGCTGGGGTTAGCAGTTTCTAGTTTCTAGTTAAGAAATTAGTTTCTTCTGAATTAGCAAATTCTGGCAATTGTCTTCTCTCGCTATTTTGCTATATGTGTGACAAAGTCTTAACTTTGTTTTAAGCTAGGCTAATTCTAGCTTTGTTTGGTGACATATTTTAGATATTCTTTAAGTTGAAAGTTAACTTATTGCTATTTCGTAAGTATTTATCTTAAATCTAGTTGGGCGTCATCTGGCTCAGTTTTTCATCTCTGACCTAACCGTCAGTCTTGTAACGGTTTCTCTCAGAACAATACAAACGGAAGAGCAATCATTTCAGACGTGACAAGGTGACTTTTTCCAGCGAGCCTTTGCTGATTTGACGCCAACTGAAATTCTTCTTGACTTGCTGTGAGACGCGTGGACTCTGGACCACTTTACTGCCCCTCACTCGTCAATAACTCTTTAGAAAGATCAATTAGGGCGATCATGGTGGAGAAAGCACCGCTGGCACCGAGGCACCGCATCGAGCTGCTTCTCTGTGATGATGTCAGACGCTGCCGAGACAGAAGAGTCAGCCCTCAGGACACGGGACTTCATTAAGGGGATGTTTCTCCATCAAACTGAAGTAATAAACCCAGTTATAACCCCAGCTTCTGTCTCCACCGCCTGGTCTGAGTCCTGACTCTGTCCGTCCAATCGGCTGCCTGGAAATATCCACACGCAGAAGTCGGTTTGATTTTTGAATTTTCTTTCAACTTTCAACTGATGTTTTGGTTAAAGAGCTCAGATCTTGAATTTTTTTTTTAACATTTAATTTGAACTATGAACTGGCCTTTTAGGACATTGTTATATATCACTTCAAATAGAATGTGGATAATTCATCCATATTTGTCTACGTTTTTTTAATGGTTTTAGATATTTTTTTTATTGGTTGGTGTTTTGGGAAGTTTTTAATGGATTTAGATTTTTTTTATTGGTTGGTGTTTTGGGATATTGCAGTCTTACTTTGTTCTTTGTCGACAAATGTAGATGTGTTTCACACTTTCTGCATTTAAGGCACATTTTAGTTTTAAAAAAAATGTTTTTTAGTTCATGTTCATAGTTCATTTTTATTTTTTTATTCTATTTCTTGTCATTTACATTTTTTTATGAGTTTTTTTTCTGTAGTGTTTGTCCCAGTCGTTATAATTTTGAATCTTTACAGCAGGTTTTCAGGAGCTCTGTTCTCTGCCTCAGCCAGTTTTTGGCAGCCTGTTTGACGTGTTGCTATTTTTATTTAGTTGTGTATTTATTTTTGGCATTACCCAATGGTCTTCAGACTTCTTTTGTTGTGTGATAAATGTTGTCGTCGTGAAACCTGCTGCGTATATGTTCGACAGACGAGTCCAGAAAAAGCCGACCTTTCACCTCCTAACCTTTTTTCTCTCCACGCTGATTATCAAACCTACTTACAGCACACCTCCTGTATCCCTTCATCACAAATTAACCTTTTCTCTTCTTCTTCTACTCTCTCTCTCCCTCCCCCTCCTCTTTCACACCCTGCCTTGTTTCCTCCTTCTCTTCTTTCTTCCCTCTTTTTTTTCCCGTCTTGCAGCAAAGTTGTTCGTGTGAAAATAATTGACGACGAGGAGTATGAGAAAAACAAGAACTTCTTCCTGGAGCTGGCTGAGCCTCGAATGGTAGACATGAGTCTGCAGAAAGGTACCTCTGTCTTTTACTGTCTCCCATCTCTGTCCCCCCGTTCATCTTTGTTCTCTTTTCTATGTCCACATTTTCTCTTTGCCTAAAATGTAACTTCATCAACTAACCGCCCCTACAGTAGTTACCCTGCCATTTTTCACCACCATCGCACCTAAAAACTCGTAAAAACACCGTTCGCTTTATGTCGACAATTTTCTCAAACAGAAACTGCAGGGGCGTCATCTGCATATAAAGAGAGCTGCTATCATTTGCCATCTCTACACAGCACATAGGTATCATTATGTAAAACCAGAAAGTAGAGACGCAGCATATTTTAAAACCCGACTGTAAGGGTCGTGACTTCCTGTAAATGGCTGTCGGTGAAAAGATATTTTGTCAGGCGGTATCATTCACAGGCTTCTATGTAAAAATAGCATATTTAATATCAGCCTGCCGTGTTAGCAGGATTATCTGTGCTTATATTTTACATAAGTATACAAAACACAAACTTTTTGGTTTGTCACGGTGTGAAAGGTTCAGGAACACTGAAGTAGGATATTACAGATTTGAAATCCAAACCAGTTTTGTTGTCTCGTGTGTCGTCTAGTCATGTCTGCTGAAAGGAGCTGTCAGCCTTTTCTTAGGATGCACAAAAACCCAGTTGTCTGATGCAGGCTTTTCGTAGCATGTTCAAGGCCAGCAGACAGTAATCAGTCTCTGACTCTGATGCAGAGGAAGCAGAGAGGGAGACTGGGCTGTTTCCAGCTCATTATGTTCAGGTTATTGGCTGTGGCAGCGACTGTCTGAGTGTCAGCAGCAGCAGCAGCAGCAGCAGCTCGCTGTGATCTCACAGCCACAGTCGTGATGAAGAGCTGTTACTACTGTACGTGCCCGTCTTCATGAGTGGCAGCTACGTCGCTCCAAATTCTCCTCTACCCCTCGGTGATGATTTAACTTTCTTGATTTTCGGTGCAGCTCTCACTTACGCTCCTGTGAATCGTCTCAAATGCAACGACTGTTGAATTCTGCATTAATAACCTCTTTATATTTCAGTCTCAAATATCTTTTTACATGGTCTGTGATATAACCAAGAACACTGAGGCACAAATTCAAGACACTCAACAGTCATTTACTGTTCAGTTCAGTCCACCCTCCTAAACTTCACAACATCCAGAGCTTCATGCTGGCTTTGGCTTTGGCTCCCAGGTTTTTATGACACGTTATTACCGGTGGTGGATTTGACGGTTTATCACTTTAACTTAATTAGCTCGTAACAAACAGTAAAATGTTGTTTGATTGACATGTGAGTGAATGAACAGACGTAGTCTGGAAGTTAAAGAAGTTCAAACCCATGCATATTCTTTGTGGCTGAAAAAGAAACATTTGGTACATTACTGCCCCCTAGCAGGCTGGAGTGTGTACTGTAGAAGTGAGCGATCTGTTAAAGGTGTCATCAAGTGTGTGATACTTTCTTTAGGTTCTTATTTGTTCTGTAATTAATGGTTCAAAATGACCACATTCAGATTCCACAGACAAGAGCAGGACAACAGTGCCTCTAATGGACGCTCAGAGTGTGTCGACAGTGACTAACAGCAGATAAATTCTTTTTGACAAATGTGGTCTATAAAAAAATGTTTGATCTATATGTGATGAGGAGGTAATGAAAAAGCTTTTCTCTATTATTGGCCGAGCAGCATTATGTTTTATGAATGTGCTGCTGCTGCTGCTTCTGATGATGATGATGATGATGATGAAATCAGTGTGATTTCAAATTAGAATGAGTGAACGAGCGAGCGAGAGAGAGAGAGAGAGAGAGAGTGCACGCACACACAAACACTCACACAGAGACACACATGGCTGCAGGATGGTAGATCTGTATTAAACTCATAATGACTCACTTAACTAATTTTTCATGTAGGGCTACACAGTGGAAGAGTGGTTAGTGCTCTTGCCTTACAGCGAGCTGATCACTGGTTCAATCCCATTGTGAATGTGAATGGAATTCACCTGCAGACTTCTAG